ACCCTAATATGATAATTTCATAAATTGTTTAAAAATTTAAATAGGTGAAATTTCAATCTCGAACAGTTATTTCAATCTTTCGGATAAATATTAAATTAGGAAAATTGATGTAGTCATTGACAAAAACTTGCTGAATCAAACTAATTGTGATGTAATTGAAACAAAGATCTATATCAAACCTCTTAGTCAATCTATTGTTGTTCCTTTCATGACAATCAACTTCAACTAATTCTTCCCAAAAATAATTGTTATTTCTCACATTTTAGTATTAATAATACTGCTATAACTTAGTACGTGTTTGGTTTGTAGAAGATAAGGAGCGTGGCACCAAGACGAAGATGCAAGCTCGATTTCTATCTCTGCTATTGGACGTCATAGTGTGGCACGCGCAAAACCCAATTGACTATTATAGATATTGTAGGTCATACAAATAATAATAATAATAATAATGTGTTTGACATGCATAATTATAATTCAAGCTTTGCCCGCAAAAGCCAGCATGGCACGCAAATGTGATTACTAGGAAATTAGTGTCAAATTATGGGTTCACATGTACGACTTCTCATTCATGTTGGCATCTCATCTTGTAGAGTTTATTACAGCCCGACAGAGCACCCAAAAATTCACCAAAAACCGAATACGACCAAGTATTTCTCAAAACAATCTGCATCGTCAAGGATTTTACAGTTCCTAGCCATTTCCAAATTTTAGCAATTGTTTTCATACATTCAGGGAAATTGAGGGTCAACCATGAAGTAGGGACAGATGGAACTTGATGATACTATGGACAAAATTTTAATTTCTTTTTCATCATTAATATTGTCTAGCCGACTTACCACATATGCCACTAAAGCTCGTCGTCTGAGCTAAAAAGGTCTAGCTCAATCATCTTTTCACCAACCTGCTTGCCTTTCTCTACTGGAGCCTGCAGCTGATCAATTTTGATTTTCTTGGAATCTGGTTGTTGACTTGGTCTACTTCTGTGCATATCCTTTCTCAAGGACCTAAACAAGACATTTCAGCAAGAGAACACACAAGAACGTGTTAAGTTGAAAGTAGATTTTATGAAGGCAATTTTGTGCTCACCGGCTGTCTGTTTTACTCGTTGGTTGAGGTGGAACATTAGATGCTTCTTTTATTGGTTTTGAACCTGTTTTGCCTGTGAATTGCCAACAATATATCTATTAACAGCAATACGAAGAATCAGTCATGAAATGAATGTAGATTGATGTAATCACGACAAACCTGTAACTTCAGTGAGAAATCGTATTCCTTGTGAATGTACATTAGTTGTCACTTTGCTCGCATTGCTGCACCATCAAATTTTGGTAATATCATTTTCAGTTTACTGAATCCTTCAGCATATATATCCAAGTGAGGAAACATTAGTATCCGAATTGTTAAGAATTAAACCTTAATCTGTAACTCGAGGAGCAATGATAAATGGAAAGAAAAAGGAAAACAAAGAGCAAGATTTTTAATGGTTCACCCTTGCCGCTACAGATCTTTCACTATAATGAAGGCGATTAGAGGGTTCCTCACACCAATATAGAATTCCACCCTCAAATTTATTATACAATAAAAGAAACTAAATCAATTCTGCAATTGAGGGAACAAATGGACCATATAATTAAATTCCACATGGTCCAACACAAGAATGTGGCTTTGAAAACGTAGTAAGATAATTTACATAACATTGCTACTTAAGTAGAAAAGAGAAGTTATACCTCTGTAGAACCAGAATATAAAAATTG